CCCCAAAACCCCAAAACCCCAAAACCCCGATAGGCTTAAATTAATATAAATCTGTAGGAAAAAGTAAAACATAATATAATTATATTAAATATGAGAAAAGCTGTCATTAAGGAACTAAAGCTATCAAACTTGCTTCTTCTATCATTTAACAGATATCTCTATATTCTTTAGAATAAACAAGATCAAATTCAATAATAGAGTAAAGCTGCTTTCCAAAAAATGAAGATTTTGAAGTCATACGTTTGGGAAAGTAATGTGTTCTTCGATGTAATTGAGAAAAAGAATTAGCTTTTCATTGGAGAGCAGAAAGATGTCAGACTATATAATCTCAATGAATTCCTTGCTCATAATGAGAATAATCAAAATTAGGAAGCTCGCATTCTTGACCTACCTGCAGTTAAAGAATAGTAACTTATTTTGAAATTAAAAAAAACATTATAGTAAAAATAAGAAGAGACTTACAATGATGAGGATAGCTCCAAGCATAGAGACTAAGGATGAGATCATTGAAGGATTGTTAATGAGTGATAAAGTAGGAGAAGTCAGATTCCTTAACATTAAGAATTTTATTGAGGGAAAGAAACAATCATAAGTTGAAGAAGATGATCTCGCAACAACATTATTCGGTCACTAACAAGAGTGCTCGGGATTCTAATTTTCCACCAATAGCAAATTCTTAGCATCAGTCGATACTTTGAAAAGAGTTAGAGTATGTGATTTCCCAAATATCTTCCATGTGAGACAATTCCATCTATACTAAAAAACGTAAGCATTAAATAATTTTAAGAATTATATAGGGAAATTACAGATTTTGCACTCAATGATAGCCATTTGTTTACATATTCAGCTCTTGACCAAAATTTAATGATTTCTGAATTAGCTGGAGAAAAGATCATTGCTAGTGAGAAGTAACCCTAAGGGTTTTCAATTGAATCATTGGTTACTAATCAATCGACAAATCAATTATGCTATCTACAATCGAACTAAGAAAAGAGAACTGCCTCAGTCATTCAATATTAGCCAGATTGTAGAATTTCTAATGCTGTTGTTCAAGACATTTAAATAAATGAAGGAGATAAATATACTTTAGCAACTGGCGGCTATCTGCTAAATCTTAGAATAAATCCAGAGAATGGAATTATAAATGGAGATGAGATTGATGTAATGTCTCTTTAATGATGAAATTTACTCTAATTAAGAAAAGTTTTATTATTTTTAATTTCATTAATCAGTCAAGATAGATAATTACACACATAACACTCAATCAGAGGATTAAATCAAATTTAATCCATTTCAACATCCTTTGGCTTTTCAATCACTGTTTCTACAGGTGCTGTACCAACAACAACTTCAGTTGAAGGAGCAGTAATTCCTCTCTTAAATTTGTTCTTTTCAACATCTTTAATGTACTGAACGCTGCTATTAAAGAAAGCATTAGGATGATTACCAACATTATCTGAAACTCCATTAGGATGAGACAATTCGTATAATCTCAAGCATGCAACTTAGTGCAAATTTTCTCTTCTCTTATCAATGACAACCTTCATATCATCAGGCTTAAGACCATATGAACTTAGCATCTATCTTAATGGCTCCTCTGAAAATGTCTTAAATGGACATCCATGATATTCATCTGGTCCTGGAGTAGTTTGCTACAATATTTTTTGGCAGTTCCAAGGTTTGTAATCTTACTTTTTACCCTCTTTACCAAAATTATGACGAATGTTATAGCCATATTACTTTTCAAACTTATCATTATCCATATTCTTGCAGAATTCTTACTTCCAGAATGTATAAGCTTCCTCCATGGTAAGACCAAGACCCTTAATAAATAAACCAAGTTAAAGTCTGCCATAATGCTTCAAGTGATGCTTATTTCTTAAAACTGTAAACAAGGACTTCATACAAGGTGGGAAAGACTTTCTTGAATAATAGTCAAGATCACTTAACTTGATTTTATCACCATCAGTTGGGGCTTTCTATTCATAGATATTGAAATCAATAGCACTATGATTTGATAAATTGATAAGCATTCTTTAAATTCTCTCGTCCTTTATTATCTCAGGCCAAAATTTGTATGCTTTAACAAGCTCAGCTGAAACCTTAGCTCTAAAGTGAGCTGATAAAATCGTAGTCAATTCTTTCACTGGAACGTATGCTACACCTAGATGTAAGAAAACGGCTCTTCTGCTAACTAGAGAAATAGCCTCTTTGAAAGGTACCTTAACGAAATTGCTAGGAATCTAGTCTGAGAGCTTTAATTGCTTAAAAGTGATCTAATGCCTAAATATTTACCAATCTTCATCTGATTCCTAGCAAACTTGATAACTTATGCCGCATTAGTCTTTCAAAAGGCCTTGTATGATTTCGTGTTAAGCATCTTGGAGTCTAATGTTAAAAAGTCTTGCCTCTTGAGTTAAAAACCACTTTCTAAGTTCTTCATTTCTGCAGTAAGCTAGTCTGCAAATGAAGTGTGATATATTATCATTGACTCTAAATTCTTTTCTTTCCTCAGTTGTCATACTGAATGAGCTCAGCACATTTCTATCAGCTATAACTGCGATTCTATGAGCCTTTGTCATTTTTATGACTGTTTCCTTGATTACTTAATGATCTTAATTTGCATCATTCATAAATTCAATTTTCTTGAGCACTTAAAGTCTATCCAAAGCAAGTTTCTGAAATTCATGAAGGCTGATGATGTTTTCAGGGGGCTCAACGTACATATTAATTCCTTGATCATTATTTATAGAGACCTTTCCACCTGCATAATCATCGTTTTATGCTTAATTTATGACTTTTTTGTTTATAATACCCTTTTGCATTTCCTTTCGAGCTATTAGCGGTAAATTTCAAAATAATTTATATTATTTAAATCAACTTTGCGGAATAATTGAGAGATCAATGGGGTTTTGGGGTTTTGGGGTTTTGGGG